GGGGCGGGGCGGACTTTCACGACGACCTTCTTTTTCTCTTTCTTCTTTTCTACTTTCTTCTCCTCCTCCTTCTCCTTCTTGCCCCACTTGAATCCATCCGTGGCCCTGGTGGCGCCGATGCTGTTGATGTTTGGGTCATTAGGGTCCGGTACGGGTGTCAGCTCCACCTCCGAGCCCGACTTGCGTGCTAGGGGCAGCTGCTGGGCGGAAGCACCTGCGTGAGGCGGTACGGCCCCCACCAGGAGCGGCGGAGGGCAGGTGGTGAAGTCCCCCACTAGCCGTTCATGACCCGCTACTGGAAAGGTGCGGGAGGTGTTCCGACGGAGACAGACTACTCACCCGCGGAGGAGCCCAGGAGCGCGAGGGAGGACGACAGCAGTAGCAGCAGCAGCAAGGGGCCGCCGCCACCCGCCGGCTTCAGCCGGCTGCGACGGTACGACATATCAGGAGGAGCTCCGTATGAAGAACCGTACGAACCTACCTGCCTACCTACCGCCGTAACCTACCCTGCGAATGGGAGCGCAGCTGGTCACCCTACAGCCGTGTGTGGTCAACCTGGCAGCTATCAGGGTTTGCCTCAGGGTTGCCTGTGCGACCGGCGCGTATTCACGTAGGTTGCTTGGTGGTCGATTTCTTACCCCGCGTGTATCTTATGATACGGAAAATGATACGGAAAACTGTGATGAAGTCCTGGTGGTAGCTAATCAGGGATAACCAGGGTAGATAACCCCACAATTTGTTGCTGAACGGAAGAAGACGCAAGACGCAAGTTTATTTTACGCTTAATGATTACTGTACTGCCGCAGGGATTTTCACGTTCCTAGAGAGGCTTGGGAGTCGCACGTACGCGTCGGGTCAGTTTGAGGTCACGCGACGCCGGGCGAGTTTGAAGGGCGATGCCTTTATGGGACAGGCCTAGGCAGTGATGAAGTTCATGGGTACAACAGATTTATCCAGTTACCCTGAAAGGTCTAACTTGCGGGTGAGCTGTTCGTTGGATCGCTGCCTGTCGTTCCCTACGAATCGTTGATGCTTTGTACGTTGGTACTCGGTAGAGTACCAACAACAACTAACAAGCTGCTCTCAGGATACATAAGAGTCTGTTGGATGGATCTAAGGTTTTTTTAACTTAAAATATTTCAACTCGGAATATTGATGTGTGGTCAGCGAAGCTGCGACAAGTCCGATAGGTGGTTACCGTTAACAACTGCCAAGTCCATTGTTTGCACTGCAGACTGAACCTCTTGATGGCCAAGGTTGATTTCATACATAAGTGATTAGGGAGTTATGCTAATGGAATGATCACTGACATGGCCTTCGTGACTACCCCAGGCTTTGAAACAGAACCCGTTGACATGCAACTGATATCAGTGCACGAGCAAGTGCTTGCAGTTAGCTCATAGACGAGATCGAAACTCCATATCAGACCCTAATCATGAAGATTTGCTCATGGACGGTGCCCAAGTTCCGACAGCAGCTCGCAAACTGTCTATCCGCCCAACATTAGGTACCGTTACTGACTGCCTCAAACTTTCATGAGTCAAAATATTTCAGGATGATACCATTGAAACTGCTTGCTAAGATCACACGCTAGGCCGCATCCAGTAGCCAAAATCGTACCATAATCCTCTAAGCCCGAACGTCTTACCTCTATGATGTAGGTTGCGAGACCCCCACAAAAATCTATAGCCTTTAAAGATACAAACAATTTCTTTTTATAGGTCGCATTACTTGGAACTTGGGCAGGGGCTGTGAGATATAAGCTGCACAGATACCTATTTTTGTAGAAAGGACGTAATTAATTACTTTAGGAGGACCTCAGGGACTCGCTGGTGATTCTGTGACAAGTGGAGTGAGTAGCGCTTTGCAGGTGAGCCTTCCACCGAGCCTCCTCTCCCGTTTTGCGGTTTGTTTACATTGTTATGCAACATCACATCGTAATACGACATTAAAATCAACCTGTTAAGCCTAAATACAAGCCGGTTGCCTCTATGCTGGCCAAGGCGACTGCATGTCTGCTGTGTTACCGGACCCACGTGCCACGAACACTCGTCATCTTCCAGAGCGATATGATCTTTCCTTTTTTAAACGTAAAGTACGCCGAAACGCACTTCGACCTGCTTTCCGCCTTCTCCGCTTCCTTGTCGCCGCTCGCTACTCACCGCACAGGCCTCTCAGCCGTGGCGCAGCAATGGCGCCAGCGGACGGCGGCATGGAAGCCAGCCGGCGCATGCACGATTATCTCCTTTCCAAACAGCGCAAACAGGAGGAGTATTGGTTGCGAAAGTACGGCAGGGTACTGCAGGCTCCGCCACCCAGCGTTGGCAAGCCAGCTGCCAATCCGCGCCTACCGCCAATAGCCGGCGGCAGCGCTTCCGGAAGCGGCCCGTCTTCCAGCCGTGGCAGCAACGTTGGGCTTAATGGTGAACCCAGCGCCGCCGGCAGCGGCAGCGGCGGCGGCCTGCTGCCGCCGGTGCCTGGCGCACAGGGCCCTCCGGGGGCGCCACTCGGCGGTCTCTCACCCCATCACCTCCGCCAGCCCAAAGGCAATGCGCCCATCTTCCGCGCTAATGAGCCCGTGAAGGACTTTTTCTCTCGCAACGTCCGCCAGTCGCGCACCAGCGGCCTCGCCATGTCGCGCGATGAGTATGGCAACATGCTGCAGCCGAGCCATCGGCCCCCGGAGCCGTACCGTGCGCGGGGCCTGCCATCGCAGCTACCGCCGATGGCAAACTACGGACAACAGCACCAACAGCAACAGCAGCACCATCAGGTTTCACCGGAGACCGATGAACAGCCCCCTGTGTCATCACCACAACAGCAGCAGCAGCAGCAGCAGGCGTACAACGAGCCCCCAACATCCCAGCAGCAGCAGCAGCAGCAACAACAGCAACAATACCAGCAACATCCCTACGGAAATTATCCGCAAGCCCAATACTTGCAACAACAGCAACAACAACAACAACAACAACAGCACATTCAGCAGCAGCAGCAGCAACACCACCATCACCATCACCAGCAGCAGGCGTCACCCAGGGGCGGCTACCAGCCGCCACCCCGAGTGGGGGTGCCGCAGCCCCGCACGCTGCCGCCACTGCCGGGCGAGACCCCCTCCAGCCGCTCACCTCCGGGCAGTGTGGGCTCCGGACCCGCCGGCAGACCGCTCCGAAGCCTGGAGATGGAGCTGGCGGTCATTCGGGTACGTTGCGCAGCTCCACAAAACCTCTCCCCCTACTCACCGCCAACCGTTAACTGTCAACCGTCAGGACCCCGGGAGTGATGCTCTGTGCCGATTTGTCGTGTTTGTACAAATCCATGGAGGGGCCGTTTTGGGGCCTGAGGGATGGATTCGTTGGGCATTCGGACATCCCCAACCGGGGGGCAATCTCAAGATTGAACAGTCTCCGCCCTCCACCCGCGGCCCACTGCCTGCCACAAACCCGCAATCCCAACACCGCACTCCCCGAGACCTCAACAGCCTACATACGCACTCTCACATATACACACCCACATAGATTTACGTGCCCCATGACGGGGCCCTGTTACGGCTTGCATATCCCTCTTGGTGTTGCCCATCCTTCATTTCCATGTTCTGTGCTTTTTTCTATCGTAGCTAATTCACAATCTTCTTATCCGCCTTTTCTCTCATCCGCCCACCCGCAGGCCATCAAGGCTCGCGAGGATGTGCTTGAGCGGTTGCGCATTGCCAGTGGCAAACTGGACAGCGGCTTTGGCGGCTCCTCGCCTGTGGTGCTCTCCCCGGTTGACCCCCTGGTGCGGCTGTTCTACCGGCTGGTGGGCACTCTGAGGCAGCGGACGCTGGACGTCATTGAGGCGATTGCGGCGTGGCGGCGCAAGGTGTGGGGCTGGTGGGAAGAGGTGGTGCTGAACGGGCGATGTGGGAACGATTTGAAGCTCCCCCGGCGTGCACACCACCAAGCTGCCGTGCGCCATGTGCCCTGCTGCATCTTTCCGTACATTTGCACGTTTTTTCTCTCTCTCTCTCTCTCCCTCTCTCTCCCTCTCTCTCCCTCTCTCTCTCTCTCGTGTGCTGTTGCTCTGTGTTGTTGTATGATTTTTTTTATCGAGCATCAACACACAGGGAGACAGATAGACAGATAGAAAGACAGACGGACAGACAGACAGATAGAAAGACGGACGGACAGACAGACAGACAGAGGCCAGGGGAGCGAGAAGGCTGGGGCCCCCGGTGGAAGGGTGGTGTAAGACCGGGAGGGGAAGGGGGAGAGGTGACCTTCTTTCCGCCCGTAGTAAGAACTCCCCGGGTGCGACTTCGTCTTTGTTAGGTGACCAGCGGGCCTAGAGCCCGTTTAGCTGGTGCGCTACCCCCGGTGGGGATCGCTGCTGCTTAGTGCGGCCGTCGTATCTTGCGCGGTCTGACCCGGGGGCGGAATGCACGAGGCAACCAGCTATGTGCGTCTGGGCCCCGCGCTGTGCTTCGGCCCTGGGCTCCCGGCTTTTGAGCCCACAGTGCAATCAACGTACGCACATATGCACACACACAGACATCACGCACACGCACATACACACACCATTTCGCGCCTGCGCTCTTTCCCGCACGGGTGAACTCCAGGTGAACCCCGCCGACCCGTTCATCTACTACGGGGTGGACTACTTGGCGGCCATAGGGCCCGATGTGGGCTTCCTGGACGAGCTACCCTTCCTGCGTAGCCGGCTGACCTTCACCCGGGCGGCGGACGACCCCTTCCTGTCGGAGGTGACTCCGGACGGTATCCCCATCGAGGAGGCCACCACATGCGACCTGAGGAGAGGTGGGTGCGGAAGAGGAGGGGGAAGAGGGGGGAGGAAGAGCTTGGGAGGAGGAGGGGGAGGAGAGGTGGGTGCGGAAGAGGAGGGGGAGGAGAGGTGGGTGCGGAAGAGGAGGGGGAGGAAGAGGGGGGAGGAAGAGCTTGGGAGGAGGAGGGGGAGGAGGACGGGGAGGAGGGGGAGCTGGGGAAGGAGGAGGGGGAGGAGGAGGAGGAAAAGTGGGCAGCGAAGGGGGGAATGGTCGCCGGGGAGGAGCTAAGCGGAGGCGGCGGAATCAAAGCGGAGGGCTCAAAGGGAGAGGGGGGGAATGTTGGGGGGGGTATCTGAACTGGGCCACTAGGGGTTGGCCGGAGGGGTCGCCCCCTCATGGCACGATTGGTTTACGGTACGGTACGGTACCGTACAGTGCCTTCCGGTTTTATTTCCCTTATCATCGTACACAGGTGTACGGTATTCACCTCATCCCCTCATCTCACCGCGCCGGGGCTCATTCCCGACTGATTGTCATATGGCAGCAATGGGATAAGAAGGAAACCTCCCGGCCTGCATTGGCAGCTGGAGCTCCTCTTCGGGTGGATGCAGCAAGCGCGCTCTCACTCTCTCCCTCACTCTCTCCCTCTCTCTCCCTCTCACTCACTCTCTCTCACCCTCTCTCTCACTCTCTCTCACTCACTCACTCTCACTCTCTCTCACTCTAACACAAGCGCGCACACCTACACGCACACACACACACACACACACACACACACACACACACAACACAGCACACACACACACACAGGCACACGCGACCCCCCGGCCCTTTCCCCTCTGTCTCAGGCGGTCAGCGGTTCTCCTCTGAGGCGCTGCGCATTCGCATGGCACGCAAGGTCCTCGCGCACTACTGCGGTCGGGCGCTACCCGGGGAGGCCTCCGCGCTCTCACTGGAGGGCGGCGCGAGCACCATGTCCGGGGGGGGGCTGCACGCGGAGCCCTCTCAGCCTCGCTCCATTCGCAGCGCGCTGACGACGGGCCAGGGAGCGGAGGAGGAGGACGGGGCCGCTGGTGGCGCTGGCGGCGCTGGTGGTGTGGTTATGACGACTGAGCAGATTATTCGGGCGCTGTCGCCGACGATGCCACCGGTGAGCGCGCTGCAGCCGCCCGCACCACGCGCGATCACGCCACCGGCGGAAGCGGACTCGCCGGCTGTGGCGGCGGCGGCGGCGGCGGACTCGGCGGTGGGACGGCAGCGGGAGGAAGAGGAGGAACATGCACGGCGAGATGCGGCGGGAGATGAGGCGGCGGGAGAAACCGCCCTGTCTGTGCGGGAGGCGCAGGAAGAGGAAGGAATGGAGGCGGAGGGTGAACAGCCCGTAGGAGTCAAAGATAAATTGGATGGTGCTCCGTTACCACCGCACGACCAATCGCTACATCGTGAGGACGAGGACGAGGTGGAGAACGGGGAGGAGCAGCCCACGGCAGCGGCGATCGTCGCTTCCGCTGAGCTGGACGAGCAGGCGGTACCGGAGCCGGATCAGCCGCCGCCGCCGCCGCCGCCGCCACAGGTGGAGCACCTGCCGGTGTTCGATAACGATAACGACTTCATCGACTTTGCACTCGATGCAATGATCCATTCCCTAGAACCGCCGTACGTTCACATTATCTCGCCGGGAGACTTCACTGTTGCGGGCTGGGAGATTGACCACCAACTGGATGAGGTGGTGTGCGGAATCACGTCGCCAGAACGGTATCGCCGTACCAGCATTCCAGGCAGCTCGGCAGCAGCGGATGCCGCGTCGGCGCTGCGGCTCAGCACCGCCGTGGCAGCGTGGCCCTCACCGGAGCCACGGAGCAGCAGCAAGATACCTCGGCCGCCATCGGAACCGAAGCCGCCGTCAGGGGGGCGGGTCTCCGAAACGACAGCGGCGAAGCCGCCGTCCCGTGGGTCGCGGATACCGGCATTGCCACCCTCGACGGCTCGGCCGCCGGTACGAGTCCATCTAAACCCGCGCAACAGTGGCTTGGACATGGCCCTGAGTATGGATGAGGAAGGTCCCATGGCGCAAGCGAGTGTGGCCAGCTCGACAGGGCGACCCACGGGTCCTAGTGGTGGCGAACCTGCGGCCACTGCCACTGCAGCCGCCGCCGCCGCCGCCGCAAGACCTCCAGTACGGGTGCATTTAAGCGCCCGCAACAGCGGCTTGGATATGGCCTTGAGTATGGATGAGGAGGAGCTCGCGGCGCAAGGCACTGTAGCCATGGCAGCCAGCAACAACAGCAACAGGAGCAACGTCAAACCGACCGCGCCTGCACCATACCCGGAAGCCCTGCCATCAATCCTCGAGGATAAGAGTGCTTTCTTTGGCGACGCTGATGGTGAAGAGAGATGGAGGTACGAGCACGAAGGTGGCGCCGCCGAAGCCGGCAGTGGCGGCACCGCCGGCACCGCAGGCACGGCACGACCGCCGGTACGAGTCCACCTAAACCCGCGCAACAGCGGCTTGGACATGGCCCTGAGTATGGATGAGGAGGAGCTCGTGGCGCAAGCGACTGTGGCCAGCTCGACAGGGCGACCCACGGGTCGCAATAGCCCTGGAAGTAGCACCCGCAGCAGCCGTAGCGGCGTCATAAATCCGACTGGACCTAACAGGTACACGGAAGGCCTGCCATCCATTCACGAGGATCAGGGCACCCTCCCTAGTGCAGCTGACGGCGGCGAGCAGGAAGATGCTGGCGGGGGCGCCGACAGGTACAGAAACGCCGCCGGCGCTGACCTCAGTGCCGCGTCAACTTCCCGGCCGCCAGTGCGCGTATACCTGCGGCCCAACAGCCGAGACATTAACATGGTGCTCAGTATGGAGGAAGACGGCATGTTGATGGCGTCACCGGCGGTGCAGGATGCCGACGCTGCCGACTCCAGGGATGTGGCCGGGGCGGCAGTGCCGCCTCCACTGGACGACATGCCGACACCGCTACAGGGCCCCCTGTCGGGGCGTAGTAATCGGGCCAGCCTCCGTCAAGGCCGTCAGAGCGGCTCCCGCCCCAGCAGCGCGGCGTCAGGGGGTCCTGGCGGCGGCGGGCAAGAATGAGGGAGTGTGGGAGCAAAGCTTGATTGTGAAGAGGGCTGTTGATATGTTGACAGGGACCGAAAAGGCTGTCTAGAACGGGCTATCGACGTGATGTGTGTATCTGTGTGCTGGGTCTTTCCTGGAACGCCGATGCGGTGCGATGCCTGATGCCTGTTGGTGGTTGGGGGTGAAGCTCTTGGGTGGCGTGTGGTACGATGGTGTATCCTTTCGTCCTGGTGCTGGTTCACCTGCTGGATGGAATGGAATGTTGGCGGCCGCAGCAGCGGCAATAGCGAAAACCGGCAGCAGCAGCAGCAGCAACAACAACAACAACAGCACCGCCACCATTACGAAGCTCAATCTGATGCCTGAAAGAATGCAGATGTATCGGCGTGCCTGCGCGGCGTGTTGACGGTGCTGTCGGTCTGGTGCCGTGCAGAGCGTGCTCGAAGCAGGGTGATGGTGGCCGTAGCAGGCCTCCGGTGGGGCTGCTGATCGCGCTGAGAAAACACAGCTTGTTTGTTTGTGTGGGTAAACACTGGCCATATTGTAAATGAAGTTGAGTTACAGCGTTCGTCCAGCCGTCCTGTGGCAAGGGGCCGTCGCTCGGGGCGATCCAATGTTGCATGTGATAAAGTTTCACTTGGTACGACAAGGCTCGTTGTCCGGCCCGTTACATTTTGAGAAGAGCTGTATGACACCAAACTTGGCGTACATAACCATTTACATGACGTACATACAGACGCGGGCGCCAGTAGTGCGGCCCTCTAGACGACGCACACACGCACTGCTAGCCCGGGGGCCCTGCTGTGCGCAACCTATGGACCCGGTGCCGAGACAACCTCCCTCGTGCTCTGTGATGTGTGGCCTTGGGCGCAGTAATCTTGCGGCTGTGAAGGGTGCCTAATATCAGCAGGGCACGTGTCCAGTGTTTTCATGCAGCATGCTATTGGCCTACTGTTGTATCGGTCCCGTCTTGTCAAGTGGGGTATCGATTGCCATCCGCGATTGACTGCGCAGGTCCGCGGTGAATAAGGTGCAATTTGACCAGGGTGCCCCGGCCGAGCCGGCGGTATGCAGCTTGGCCCCACTGCGGTGGCTATGGGTTGAATGGCGACCGCGACCGCGACGGCTGCTGCCACTATGTTGGGTCGAAGCCCAGCTCAGAGAGATGGTTTTAGCGGGGCATATGCTGCGGCCGCTACACCTGCAGCCGTCGGTGTAGTCTGCGGCCTTATGCCGTACACCGTACGCCTCCCCCGTCAGTACAGCGGTACGGAGGGGTCTACCCTGGAGTAGGCGTCGATGCCACCGTTGACGTTCTTAACGTTGGTGAAGCCGTTCTGGACAAGGAACTGCCCAACAGGGGGCGGCAAGCAAACAGGCATGCAGGCGGGCCGGGGGAGGTGAGGGGAGGAATGGGACCTTGTTGGCAGAGATGAGGGAGGGGGCCAGGGCCCCAGGAGCGGATCGGCTTTCCAAACGGGCTCCTGTGATGGCTTTCGTCTCCATTTCTCCATCACAACACTGGGCTGGTCGTTGAGTTGAGACTACTAACTACCAGTTGGGTTGAGTAGTTTTGCTCTTGGCAGGCTTAGCAGTTTGGGGAAGGAAGGGAAGACTGCTGCGTTTGAGGTTGTTTGAGGTTGTTTTGGTGCGCTTGTGACTGACCCGGTTGGTTGGAGAGCTCCACAAACCAGTGGTACACGATGTACGGTGTGCAGTACTAACCAGACTTAACGACCATTCGCAGCATTCACAACATGCGCACACGTTATTAACTTTCCCCTCTTGCAGCAGACGCCACCGCACGCGGTATGCATGGGGCTATTATGGGGGTGCGACACACGGCAGCGCAGCAGACCCATACCTCGGAAACAACATCGTGTAGTACAGCAACGTACAGCGACGTGTTCGTGGGCGCAAAACGACACTCGAAGGCAAGGGGGGTCTTCCTAGACGTGCTGACGCGGAGGATGCGGAGGCGGGGGTTTTGATCTGGTGTTTTGCGGTGTGTGCGATGTTTAATAGTGGCAGCCTGCAATGCGGTGCTCTGTGCAGTGCTGCGTGTAGGGTGGAGGAAGAGGAGGAGGAGGGTGTCGGCTGCGGGTGCAACAGCGGATATTGTTACGGCGGATGGTGAATGGCTGATGGGGCCAAGTTTTACTGGCGGAGAAGGTGCCATCATCCCGGCTGGATTTGCCGCATGGCGAGTCGGGACAGACAAGGACTTCGTCCGGAAGGGAAGGCGTAGGAGGCACGACATGGTCTCGGCAGGATGATGATGGTGGTGATGATGATGATGGTGATGATGATGCTGTCGAGTCTATTAAGCTGTTTTTATAGCGCCCGGTGATCAGTGGATAATAACCCGCATGTATCTGTGTGTAAGTGCCGTACATACATGGCCGATAGCGATGTCTTTTACCCCTGTCTTTTCCATATACTTTTAGGTTGGATTTCGCCACGATAGCTGACTCCGAAAGGACTGTCGCGTTGTTTGCGCAAAATAGCCTAACCTGACTTTGACTCCCATGCAGCTGTGCATGGGGCGGTTGCAGGCGCCGCTGCCCCATAGCAAGATCACTTAAGAGACTGAAACCCAGCGTATGATCAAAACTGCGGACATCTAACCGTTTGACTAACGAACTAACCAACTGGCGGATGGATGGAGGACCCACGGAAAAGCTAGTAGTAGTAAAGCCTCGACTAGCCCGACCGATACAACAGGCAGTCAGCCGCCATCAAGCCGCCCATCCGCCACCATCTCACATACATGCACATCCACAATTCCACAACCTATCCATCCATCCATATTTACCATATGGCGTTCCCGCAGCCTGCCTAATTCTGCGCTTGCTCGCTCGCGCACTCTCACGCACCCTTCCCCTTCCTGCCCTCCTAACTAGGCAACATACAACATCCATCCACACAACCACGGCAACCTCTCACCTGCGCCATTTGCATGGACCTCACTCCGTGGTGGCACAGCACCACCGTCTCCCGCTCCGGATCCAGACGGTTGCGAATGTCCGGGGCCCAGGAGTTGAAGTCGCTGAGGGGCAGCAACTGAAACCCAGGCAGTCGGGCCGTCTGCCACTCCCACTCCTCCCGCACGTCCACCAACTGCACCTCCTCCAGCAGTGGCGGACTGGACAGCAGCTCGGACAGGTCCTGGGGGGAGATCTGCTGCACGGCTGACTGGTACCTGTCGGGGAGTGATGGGGCTACCGTTGGCGGTTGGCTCAGGTGAAACTGTTGGCGGTTGGCAGGGGAACGGTGTCTGGCCACGTGCGCACGAGCATGCACAGTACGCGTCTCAGCTGCTGGTGCTTGTGGGTTGTGGATTCTGCTGTTGCTGTTGTTGTTATCCAGAAAGATGCTGCTTGCTGGCCAGTAACGGGTAGCTAAATGAAAATGCGCCCCTAATCGTATGTGTGTGTATGCTACTTAAAGGAAGTGCACATAAACTGCAGTGGGTGTACGATATGTTGTACGGGCAAGGGCAACGGCACAACAAGCGCAATACGGGACGCGCCAACCTAGGGTGTTTGTTGTTGTGTGTGTACGAGGTGGGTATTTGTGCACCAGCTGACGTCCTCATCGACCTCATGAGCCGCCTGGAACACCGGCCGGCCCTCCCCAGCCGCAGCGTACCTCTCCTCAAGCACCTTGATCACGTGCAATCCTCGGCCCGTGGTGGCCCGGGCCAGGCCGCCCACAGGGGCTGCGAAGGCCGCCGTCTCGAACTGCCGAGCGGGGGCCAACCGCAGGTTGGGAAGAAGGGATAAGACAAACCGCTCAGGGTTGCAGCAGATAGAGAAGGAAGAAGGAGAAGTACCAGGGTGCGTCCGTTGTCCGTTGCAATGCACTTGGGTCCTCTTCAAGTTAAGACCCGAAATCGGGCAGGCAAAAGGGGAGGAACACACGACAGGCGACGGCAGGTCAGGTCAGATCAGGTCAGGCGGCCGGGGGCAGGGCTGGTCGCCCCGCAGCTATGGGATACCTGGGGAAAGAAGGTCCCCCTGCTGAGCCAGCCCAGCTCGCCGCCTTTCTTGGCAGAGCCGCACGTGGAGTGCTGCCGAGCCATCTCCTCGAAGGAGGCGGCACCCGCTGGGCGCCAGGGGATGGGAAGGAAGAGAATTGAAGGAAAGGACGGGGGCACACCGGGGTAACATGGGCAGGGTTTTCTGGTGGTGGGGGGGGTTTGTTAGGCATGCGCGGAGAGGAACAAGGAGGGTAGATAAGGGCGAGGTAGTGGGCTGGAATCAGATAGAGAGGCTTGCTGGTGGTGAGCAGAGTTCCAAAGGATTCAAACGGATTGCGGGTCTGCAAGGTGGTGTAAGAGGTGCGCAGTGAGGCGCGCTAGCTGGGGAGGCAAGTCAGGGTAGTGAGGGCCCTGGTGGGACGTAAGCAGGCGATGGTAAAAGTTCGGGCCAGAGGAGCCGAATCCGGAGGGCGAGAGGTGTTAAGGGATGTTAAGTAAGTACCGATGGAGGTGGTTTCGGTGAGTACTTTGACCATTGACAAGTAGGGCTACTACAGCCCTAAGGTAGTTGGCCCCCCGTCAGTTGCCAAGCCTGCCACACCCACATCCTCAAGGCCCACCGGCAATGTTCCCCTCAATTTCATCGGCAAGAGACGTTTGCCCCTCGTTCAGCAGTATGTGCGCAACCTTGACAACGCGGTCGCCGCTCGATGCATGGGACGCGACGGCCCGGTGGGTCAACGGCCTCCAAGCGATGCGAAACGGTGTGACCTTGAAGTGTGGAAAAGGGCGTAAAAGGCTATTAGACAGCATTTCGGCGTAAGCTTCGCTTCTGCGCTTTCAACCGTACACCGCTGTCTGCGGCCGTTAGGAGCCAAGGGGGCTCACGTAAGTTTCCTGTAAAACTATTTGTTACATCACCAAACGCAGGGCTACAATGTGTGATCTACGGTGTGTACTGGAACGGTTTGATTCAGATCGTGTTGGTTGGTCAGGACAGCTTGCTACTTACCTGCTGCTTTGGGCTTGCGGCCCCTCCTGAAACCCTAGCGAGGGGTTTCCTACGCAGTTGTATAATTCATGGCAGAAAGCTAGCTTGCTCAGTGCTTGGGCCATGCCTGCGTCTCAACGTAAGGTTTAATAGTACATCACCGCAGTTTGCATTAGGAAATGCAGGTTCTTACGGCTATTCGGTCTTTTACGCAGCTATTGTCATATCCGAAGATGACGATGATGGGAACGGCAAACAGAACCCAGCCCAGAATCCAGTCGCCGCGGACTGCGCGATATGCTACGAGCCTTACTCGGAAAATGGCGAACATAGGCCGGCAACATTAAAATGCGGTCATGTCGCAGGTCAGAGCTACTTTCCGCTTTCATCGTTTCCCTGCGCTTTTCCTGAGCTGTATCTGCTCGCTGCTTGGTTTCATTTTGGACAGAAGTTGGCTCATGAGCTGACCTTGTTGCCTTCGTTCAGGCGAACTTTGCTTGAAGACGTGGCTGAGGAGCAGCAAGGTCTGCCCCACCTGCCGCAAGCCGTAAGGAGGGGTGACCCTGGGATTGGCGTGCACACGTAATCACAACCTGGGCGCGCACTCTCTTCGTCATAAAAGCGCGGGGAAAGAGCGCGTGGGAGCCTACAAGCAGTACACACAGCCTCGTCAAAACGACCGCCGTAACCCGCCGCAACTTCGCTTTTCTGGCGACTTAGTTCCAACATTACCCCACCGTCCACTGCTTTCCGCACCAGGGCCAGAACCAGGGACTTGGTGCCCCTCTTCAACCTCCCCACGGTGGTACTACCTGCCGCCAATGGCGCCCGTCCGGCAGCCGCTGCTTCAAGCGACCTAGCAGAAAAAGAGTTGCTGCTGCAAAAGGTGCAGCGAGCTTACAGCGACAAGGAAAAGGTAAGCAGGTGCTGCAGACAGGGGCTCAGGCGGCATCAACCCGACCCGATAAACGAGCGGGCGTGGAAGCGATATCCGGGAACCTGCACCGTGTGGCTTTCCACTGTTGCTGGGGCTGCCCCGCTGCTACCACCGTTGCTGATGTTCCTAAAGCTGCTGCTGTTGATGCTGCTTGTCACGGCATAATCGTGGCTGTTAATAGGAGGCGCAGCGGCAGGCAGAGGAGGCGCAGCGGCAGGCCCGGGAAGCAAAGCGGCGCGCTGAAGAAGCCCACGCAAAGGATCAGGAGGTAAAGCGGCTGCGGCGGGAGCTGGAGGAGGCGAAGCGGCAGCTGGCGGCCTCACAGGCCGGCGGGGCGCCGCTGCCATCGTTCTCTGCCGCGTGGAGCGCTCCGAATCCCTATGTGAACACCCCCGCCCCGACTCAACAACACATAGGCACCACAGGCTATGGCTCGGGACAGCCCGTCTGGCCGCCACAACCCTACCACCAGCCCCAGCACCCGCAGCCCCACCGAAACCACAACCATCCGCCGTCGTCTTCACAGAATGCTGGACTCTCACAGGGGGCTCAGTTCCCGGGGCCTGCTGCTACTGCCGCTGCTCCTACTGTTGCTGCTACTGTTGCTGCTGCCGGGACTGGGCCGGGACTACATGGGCTCGGTGGCCGTGGAGCAGCCTCGTCGTATCGGGGCCACCCAATATCCGAACTGGAGAGCTCAGCTGGTGGCGTTGACGGTGGCGGCCCGGCGGCCCCTTGGCTGTCAACCCAGCAGCCGCACCACCACCACCAGCATGCAGCGGCGCCACCGGGGGGCTCAATGTGGGGCCATTTCTCCGTCGGCGTCGAAACCGGCACAACGGGGCGGCAACATCATCATCAGCAGCAGCAGCAGCAGACGATGACGCAGCTGAACGGCACTCGGGGAACGTCCTACGGGACCACCGCATGGCAGTCAGCGGCGCTGGGGGGTGCAGGAGCCGCTAGCGGGGCTGCGCGGGTTGCAAAGGGTGGTGGTTCCCACCATGGCAGCAACACCGGCAGCAGCAACAGTGGGCCCTTCTTCAAGCCTTTGTTCAGCGTGCATCTGAAGGGCAGCCGGGTGCTGGCGCTAGATGCGGCGGCCTCGATAGTATTGGCCTCGGAGGCGAGTTGCGGCTCAGCTGGCACATCCATTCGGAAAATCAGTATGTATGCACCCGAGGTGAGGCTGTCGAAAAGGGGGCCTAGGCTGGGCTGGGTTGGCGAGGGATGATGGGATGATAGGGTGGGAGGAGGACGTAGGGTGGGGGTGGGCCTTAGCATGGTCTACATGGCAGCCGGGGGCAGGGGGGAAAGACGAACCACACGCGATTTAAGCTGCTGCCAGAGCAAGATAGTAGCAACCGAAAGGACTGACCGAAAGGCGTCCGTGGCGAATGTGACGACTGTAACCTCGGGATGACGACTGTAACCTCGGGATGAAGAATTGGCGTAGAAGTTGGAAGTCCTACCTACCTAAGCCGCCAGAAATATTATAGCCAAAACGTAAACTAGTAGGTGTAGAAAAAGTAGTGAAGGCGGCGAGAAAAGAAAGTGCTGACGTAGAAGAGGCGTAAAGTTGCTGGCCAGGAGAGAAAGCTGCATTGCTGATACTGAAAGGCTGCCGGTATGCAAGTGCTCCTCCCAACCCCCCAAAAAACTAGAACGCGCGACTGACCCGACTGACCCAAACTAAACTATTCCGGCTAGCCTACCGACGCCAACGCGAAATACCAAAGAAGCTCGAACCACCTTATGGACTCACCTGGCCAGGCAGCAGGAGCAGCGGGTAAAGGCACATGCAAGGCAGAGAGGTTGGGGAATTTGTGAGCAGCGAAAGAAAAATACGAAAACGCATGCAAATGCTGCTGAAAAGGAGTATAAAACTAGCTGATCGGGGAAGCTGGAAACGAGAAGCCCTAAAGAAACTATAGGGGGCAGGGGGGGGGGAGGAGCAGTTGGTGCAGGGTAGGCAGTGGCCTGACGGAAGCTGCACCGCAAGGCCAAGACACGGATGCGGCTCCAGCTGCAAAACATCAACATTGCCTAGGAGGCTGGTTACCCGTTCTTCGGAAGCCGGCTCCAGTGCAGTGCTGCGCTTCCTTTGCCCCGTGCCTACCCTGCAAGAGCTCTCCCTCCATCTAACTCACACCTCACACCCTCTAATTTATCCTGGCCCCTTCTGCGCGCCTGTTCGTCGTCTGTCAATGCGTGTCGCAGAGCTGCACCCACATACGTCTTCAACCGGACTCTGGCATCCTCCTGGACATGCAGCTGCAGGCCGCTGCCGCTGCCAGCGGCGCCGCCGCAGGTTCACTGCGCTTGCTGGCCGTCGCTGCTCAGCGCTCTCACCTGTCCCTCGCAGACACGCGCACCGACAGCATCGTGGGGTCGTTCAGCAACCTGCCGCATCGGGCCGTGTGCTGCAGCTGGGTTCCACCGACGGCGGGCCGAGACGGTAGCGGCGGCGGCAGCAACTCCTCGGGGGCGTACGGCGGGCATCAGCTGATCGCTGGTCTGGCCATGGGTCACCTGGCTCTGCTGGACATTCGTCGACCTAATGGACCGGTGGCATCGATGGCGGTGCTGCAGCAGCAGCAGCAGCATAGCTGCGGGGAGCTGCCAGTGCGGACGGTGGCGGCGTTGCCGTGGTGCGAACCCCCGGTGGCGCCTGTTGTCAGCGCCAGCACGTTGTGGCCGGCCTGCGTGGTGTCGTGCGCAAAAGGCGCGTGGTTGATGGCGGGCGGTGGCGACGGAGGCGGACTGGCGGCGGGGGAGCAGCCAACGCTGCTACGTCTGGATGAAGGGTTTGGTGGCGGGGGCATGCGGCTTGAGTCTCTATCAGTGCAGTGTCCAGATGGGTTCTGGCACGGCGGCGGCAGTAGGTGGGGAGGAGCCGAGGGAGGAGCCGAGGGAGGGGGCTTGCCGGACAGGCCGCCGTGGCGGGTGGTGATGTCGTGGACGCCGGCGGATGATCTGAGTGGAGGAGGGGCCGGGACTGCAGCGGTGCCGCGACATGAAGTCGGCTTGCTCCGTGAAAACCCCCAGGCGCCGTACAAGCACGAGGTGAGATGTTGAGTTGGCGGCCTGTCTGCCCGTCTACTTGCCGGTTTGTCTGCCTACCAGTCAGCATAAACAGTTAAATATAAAAAAAATGTCTGTTTCTTTGTCCGTCTGTCTGTCTGTCTGTCTGTCTGCTGGTTGGCTTGTTTAGGATGTCGAACTAATGCCCCGCCTCCTTCTTACTCACCATGGGCCCATACAATCCTCCGACCTGCAAGCAGTATCAACACCCATGCAACACCACACCCTTTCCCCCTTCCCTCCCTCTTCCATTCCCCCTTCCCTCCCTCCCTCCCTCTTCCACTCCCATTCCCTCGTCCCTCCCTCCCTCACCTCCCACTCCAGGCTACAGTTACGGGCTACACCCGGCGGTCCATTTGTACGGTCCGCAGCTGTCTGGTGCCGCTGCCGCCATCCGCCGCCGCATCACAACCCCTCAACAGCCAATCCTCCAACCACAGCAACCACCACCAAGGCCGCCACGAAGGCGACGGCCGGGATGGGGACGCGGTCAGGGACTCCCCTGGAGCTGGCGACGGCGTTCTCCTGGTCTCCAGCGACTACGACAGCCGGCAGCCGCTGATCTGGTCATTACGCCCCGGTGGTGGCGGTGGCGGCGGTGGTGGCGGTGGCGGTGGCGGTGGCATTTCCTTGTTGCAGAGGCTGGATCCTCACCCCGAGGGGCCTACCTGCATGGTCGCCGCGAGTGCTGCTGGTGGCGCTGGTGGTGGTGGTGTTAGGGATTGGTTTCTGGCATGCGGAAGCATGTCGCGTGTGACTCTGTACATGCGCCGCGATGTGTATTAGCTCACGGAAGGAAGGGAAGGGCGTGTACTTTTACCATGCCAACATGGAAAACAATTCAACGACCAAGTATTATTAGGACAGCCAAGCACTCCGATAGGCTAACTGATTGGGCGCATTGATCTCTTAGCTCGTTACTGGACAATGGCCTGGTGTGGGGGTCCGCAGGAAGCACCCGCGGGCGGTGCTATAGGGGTAGAGGAGCATGTTTCAGTAGTGGTAACTTTTGCGAAGGCAACCGGATCAAGGTGGTTTGGTTGTGTTGGCGTGCGTGTGTTGCGGCGGCTTAGCTGTGTGGCGCGATGGTGCGCGGTGGAGCTTGCGCTTCAATGCGGAAGGTACTGGTTGCGGAATGTTGTCTGCGACATGGTCGTGGGCGTGCCGTAGCCCGCAAACTGGCCAGTACGAGCCGAGGGCTCAAGGGCTGCCAGATTGCCCATAAGCACCATCGCTATGAAGTGGGAACCTGAACGTCTGGCTATAGATGCTGGAACGTATGTGGTCCCACCGCAACTCAATCGTTCCCTTTTATCACTTGCTTTGTCTGAAGAGGGGATGTTGTAGATTGCTCACATTGCGGCAGGATGAGCTCATGCAGGGTCGAGGGGGGATCTGACCTTATTACAGTCTAACCTCAGGAATTTACAAGCCTGCCGCTAAGCTCTCACTTGTAGGGCCGGACGGGATTTCACGGATGAAGAGTTCACCGGTAGCGTTGGCCGCCTGCAGGGGGGAGAAGTCCCGGGCATGATACCCGTGATTGCCGCATGCGTAGCAGCAATCGGCACTCCCTCCACAACAAGCGAGCAACTCGTGTACATGTATATACATTGCGTGTATTGCGCTCAGCCACGGCGCATTTAATTCACCCGCACCGAAACTGTGACGGACCATCTTCTTCACTCCGCAGTCGCAAGTAGATGCCTGAAAATGCAAACAATTATCCTCAAAAGTTACTGCGACACAACGCGATGCGGCACGCACCTTCTGCGCAACCAAAGTAAGGTACCTGCCAACACGCAAAGCAGTGCAACCAAACCTTGCAGCATGAATCCTGTCACAACGAATTTCGGGGGGATCTGAAGGGATTGTCGGTGCGTACTGTACCCCGCGCTGCATGGGCCGAAGCCGGACCACGAGAATTGGTTCCCGGCATTCTTCAGTACAACACCTCCCCCACACAGGACGTGATAAACGGTAGCTCTTGTAGTTGGCTCTTCCTGACACACCGCGATAAGTCACCGCTCGACCTGCTCGCCATACACACGGCGGGTTACGGAGTCCAATCACGGAAATGGAAAATGGAAATCACAGCACTGTCGGCAAACAGCTGCAACTCAAACAACAACGAAATGCGCCAAATGGGAATTTGCCCTCGAATGCATCGGCGCTCGTCTGCGCCCTTGCTTCTTCACGGTCTGGACCGACGGTGCGACGGTGGTTGGCCCATGGCCACCTCCGTCCTGTCGGTGAGCTTCCCTCCGCCTCGCCTGAATCGCCCGGGGGGGGCTGCCAAGGCCACAGCCCAAAGCCGTGCCTATGACCAACCACTGCCGCGACCACCCCAGCCGGAGCCGCCAGCACTGACTCCTGTGTGGCTACAGATTATGTGTACGGGTGGTACGGCGCCTATTGTACACCATACATGCTGCCGCCCGTGCCACCGTACATCATTGCCTGGCTTGGCAACGAGATCAATAGATTGTCTGAAGACTCCACGACGGGCGCCCACGGAGCGTCCACTACAGGTGCAGCGGCGGCGGCGGTGGCGGCGGCAGGTTCCGCAGGCGGCGGCAGCCCGTCCACCATCAGGGACACCTCCAAAGCTGCGGCGCTGCTGTAGCTCAACTGTGAGTGGGCACGAAAATGGTGGGCGGGATGTACGGAACGGAATGTTATGGGCAGGTGCGGGCAGCACGGCTGGGATGCAAATTGGACTCCTTGCCGGGGTCGGCACGGCACACAAGTAGGAGGAGATCTTTGCACGTAGCGGAAGCGACGAGGCCTTGGTGAACGAGGATGTTGGACGAGGGCAACGAGCGCAACTATCGATGAGGAGAACGAGATCAATGAGGACTTGACAAGTAGTGAGGCGGCGGCGTACGATTGGTCGAGCATGTCGTCGCATCATCACCCTTATGGCCTATATGCATGAGGGCGCCATTTTGAGGACCGAGAAGAAGACAGGATGCACAGAAATACACGTTCGTACAAAAATACATCGGTGTACGAATGAACACATGTATGGATGTACGAATGCACACATGCATGTGACTAAACCGGAACGTTATGAAGTAAAGTGGAAGCAGAGATGTAAAGCTTTATTTTAAGGCGTCCGCTCGTGCACAGCAAACTAGTCGCACCTGAGGTGGATGCTGCAGCTCTTGCCCGGGGTTAAGGAAACTCGGCGGTAGTTCCTGTCGTACATCGACTTGCGGCCGCAGCATGGACTGTAGCTCTGGTGCCGGCGGCTGCGCCAGCTCCGTCCGCTGCCGCTTCCACGCCTGCATGCCCGACGACACACCCATCGGCTTGGAGGCAGCCGCTTGGTCATCACCGCCCATGTCCATGCCACAACAAGTCTCTTGGCCGTTGGCAGTTGCCAACGATTGTTCAGGCCCCAGAGCCGTCTTGATGTTTTTAGCGAAGCCTGACTTGACCGCCTCCGGAAGCAACGCGAACGTGCGCAAGGTGCCTGGGGGAGGGGTGAAGTTGTTAAGTCTCAGCCGGCAAGCCGCTGACGCACATCTGTTTCGGTCTTTTCAGGCGTTTCGGTGTCCTGGGGGCTCGCGGTTGTTCGAGACATCCCAAGGAAAAACGATAACCAGGAGAAGAAAGGGGAAAAGAGCCCCCAGCGAATGAATAAATGAATGGATGAATGAACGAGGTTACAGCAGATCCTTTCAGATCACCGCCGATGCTGTCCGCATCCGAAAACACGGTGTGAAGGTCCTTAGAGGGTCAAGGCAAGTTTCGTACCACTGCTTGCACAGCACCAAGGCAACCAGAGACACTCCCTGCCCTGCATTCCTACGGGAATTTACCCTAGGCGCGACCAACACAAAAAAGGGGTAGGGGGCCCGTAGCTAGGGCAAATTCCCTTAGGAGTGCAAGGCAGGTGAGTGTCGCCGGTCGCCTGTTGCTGTCTGAGCCGTGATACAGGATTCGGCGTTGATCCCTCTAAGGGCCTTTATCGGCTAGATCAGATAGGATCCAAGGTAACCTCCAGCGTGGTAAAACAAAAACTCCAAATGGGGCAAACGGAAGCAAAGCGATTTCTCTACGGCACCGTGCCCGAGTGGCGAAAGGCACCGGAATGAATGCTGTGTACACACGGGGCAATTACAACCTGCTGGCGCCGGTTGCAGTCAGGTTTCTATTCTGCACTCACGTGTGGTGACGCCCTCCTCAATGTAACGCCGAGGGTCGAAGTTTGTCATGGCGTTCAGACCTTCGCGGTGCAAGGCGGCGAAGTCGTACGCCATGGCAGCCGCCTCCGCCGTCCCGAAGCATCCCAAGTACTGCAACGGAGCGCAGCACACCGCTATGAGGCTTGTGTGTGCTCGTGGGTGATAAAGATGGAGACGTCCATTTCGGACAGGGCTGGAATGGAAGTTATGAACATTCGTATGAGGCTAAGTGCCCTAAACCGCAGGGATCAGGGGCAAGGGAAGCAATGCATGCATGAATGGAAGTTGTTGCACTGGATTGCACTGCCAGATTGCCGGTGCTGTACACACCCATATACTGTACATGCCAGGTAAGGCCCAGGAGACTAGGGATGAAAGGAAGGGGAGAGAGGCGTATCTGTTGTACTCCCGAAAACGAGCTGAGCGACCCACACCGACCCACACCGGCCCGGTGAACGCGCCCTCTGCCGTCAGGTTGCCAAGGACATGCAGCTTACCAGGCAGGCAATCCGCGCCTCATAGGTACCCCCCAGACGGTGCGGAGTTACTCCTCGGTACTTGGACCCTCCCCGGCTGAGACCGCTACTTTGCCGCCGAAGCATGTTTACCACGTCCTCCTTGCTCATCTTGGACAGCGACTCAATTTCCTCACTGTAGAACTCCAGCGGAAGCTGCCAGAACGTGTCGAAGCACAACATGTTCTTTTAAATTATAAACCGACAAAGATCACATTACGTGTATTATATCATCACCGCAGTTTGCATGCGGTTGGGTTGGAGAGGAGGCATGTGTATGTGGAGGGTGAGAGAGAGAAAGAGAGAGAAGGGGAGGGTGAGAGAGAGAATGCATGTGTGTATAGTCGTGACGCGGGTCTCACTAGGAACAATTTGTACAGCCTTCGCGCCGCTACAAAGCTTCACTTTTAGAAACTCACATTGGTGTTGGCACGGCTCCCCCAGAACACGATAGCCGCAATGTCATATGCCCTTGCCGCCTCCAGCTCCGTCTCGTAAGATCCCAAGTAGATCTGCTTGCCCCTAGCCCTCTTCATCGACTGGCTCTTCTTGCGGATCGCCGTCGAGTCCCAGAGGTGGGCCTCCCACTTGTTCGTGTGCCGGTGCCTGTGTGGGTGGGGAGAGGGGAGGGGGGGGGGTTCAGGAGGAGTTGGGGCCCCTAGCTTTGCATGAAATGTCGCTTGAGGGGCCACCAATCCTGAGCTCCCAGCCCTCGGCGTGTGTACGTGAAACACTTAAGGAAATCAGAGTCGTTTAGAAAGGGAAATTCAGGGGGGTTAGGGGAGGGAGAGAGATAGGGAGGGAGGATGAGCGGGAGGGGAATGGACCCCAAAGGAAGGATGCATTGTTGCCCACCTCCCGAATGCACGCCAACACAAAGTGCTTAATCCGCCCTCATCGTTAGCCCGGGGCATGCAATTAAGCACTTTTAGCACCTGCCTGCTAACACCCTTAAAGTTAGAGCTGGTTCCGGCGGTCTTCTTCCGAGTCCTCGGGCTGGGGCCGCTCGTATCCGTGTTCGCATCATCGGGATTCCTGACGAGCTCTTCGATGTCGTCGTCACCATCACGGCTGCTCTCGCCACAGCCATCTTCATCACTGCCGTCAGCTATGCCACCATAATCGTAACCGCTGGCGGACTCGGCGCTTGCGTCAGGACTGGCACAGATGATATGGTCCCGTGCCGGGATACCTGTGTCGCCGCCGATGCCGCAGAGGCCGCCGCCAGCAGCGGCATCATTGTGCTTGGGAGCAGTTTCATCCATGCAGGCCGACGGCGCTTCTGCTCGAGAGTCTGGGGTGCTGACGACAGCGTTGCTGCCGTTACCGCCGCCCCGGACATTGGGGACCCCCGGCTGCTGTTGCACGAACTGTTGAGTTGAGCTGGTTACAGCCCGGCTGCCGGTGCAGAATGGCAGAGTAAATTGTGTGGAGGGCACAAACACGGAAGGCAGCGGCTGGGGCTGCAGCGGCTGCACCAGCGGCTGCCATGGTAGTGTAAGCTGCGCGGAAGTTGTGGGGGTGTCAGAGGTGGTAGTCATGGCGGCGGCGGTGGCAGAGATGGTCACAGTGCCGCCGGTTGCGGCGGTCATAGAAGCTCCCAAGAGGCGCTGGCCCTGCTGGTGTGCTGCGCAGCATGAAGAGCATGGGGTTTCACATCAATTTTGATGAACGGGGGCGATGGTGGTGGGTGCCGTGGCCATAGAGGAAATGCGAAATCAGGCTTGCCGTGACCAAGGCGTTACCAACGCGTGCCGTGATTTTGCATTGCATCTTACCGTGACAAAATGGCGAGGCATTAGATTAGGACAGGAAGGCAAGATGACAGATACAGAAAAAGCTATGTGCTCTCGCTGCTTTAAGGCAAGGGTAAAACGTAATTACCTAGCCTTGGTGGACCCCACACCTGTAGGCGGACTTGCGGTGCTCACCCAACCGCCATTACTGAAGATCTTATCTGCTCTCAGGAGCTCCGGCTGTGGTTGCTGCAGTTGCTCGTATTGGCGCTGTTGTTGGTGATGATGGAGTTGGTGGTGTTGATGATTCGAGTTGTGGTGCTGGCTGTTGGGGTCGTTTTGAGGCAAGTGATGTTGATGCTGCTGCCGTTGGTACAGCTGCTGTTGGTGCTGATTCTGTTGGGGTGGCTGCTGCTGGTACTGCTGTTGTTGGTACTGCTGTTGTTGGTACTGCTGTTGTTGGTACTGCTGTTGTTGGTACTGCTGTTGTTGGTACTGCTGCTGTTGGTAGTGCTGCTGTTGGTAGTGCTGTTGTTGGTAGTGCTGCTGTTGGTACTGCTGCTGATAATGCTGTTGTTGGTAGCGCTGCTGCTGCTGCTGGTGATATTGGTACTCTTGGTTGTACCAATCCTGCCGCTGTGGTCGGGCCGGCGGTACCATCACACCCGTAACTGTGCTGCTGGGCGCAGACAGGGCACCGAAACCGTTGCCGTAAACCGGGATGGAGCCAGTCTCAGCAACTGCCTGGCCGCCCGTGCCAGCAGCAGTAGCAGCAGCAGTAGCGGTAGCAGTAGTCGAAGCAACAGTAGCAGCAGCGGTAGTAGCACTAGCGCCAATAGTCAACACGTGTCCATTGACGCCATTGGTGCTGCCACCTCCAATGTTGGTGTTGCTGTACCAATGTGTAGGGAAGCCAGTTGTAACAACATAGCGACTGCGGACGAACTCGCAGTTGTAGATAGCCGAGCCGCCTGCAGGCGACAAGTTGGGGTTGCACGTGATCACACCGCCGCATGATGCAGGGCTTCGGCTCGGCTGCTGCTGCTGCTGCTGCTGCTGCTGCTGGACGTATAAGACCCGATCGTATTGATGATATTGCCCATGCTGCTGTTGCAGCAGGTGCTGTGCGGGATGACCCCCAAAGACGGACGTCTCCACTGTAATTACGGTTGCAGCGGGTGCGATTTCCCGTCCGCCGTTACCACCACCGCGGCCGTCACTGACCCATCGGCCGCCCACGAGGGCCTCCTGCTGCCGTTGATGTTCATGCACACCGCTGCCACTGTCGGTAACAATCCCGTCGTATGCGTGATGCATCCCCGATTGATCACTAGTTCCGGAACCCCTGGCACAGACACCGTGCTGTGGTAGCGGTGTAATTTGCTGTGGCAACGGTGCAGGTTGCTGGGCGGCCTGCATTAATGAGTGGTGGTACTGCTGCTGGTTTTGATGCTGCTGGTTTTGATGCTGCTGGTGTTCTACCACCGCTGGAGATGGAGCCGACGGACAAGCGGAGAGCGGGGCCTGCAGGAAATAGCAGGGAAGGAGCGAGCAGTCCTTCTGACGGAAGGTAAGGCCTTCGCGCCGATGCTACGAAAAGAGCACAATGAGGAAGATTTTTGAAGTGCAAGACATTAATGTCGTCTACACGCCGCTGGTATACGCACGTGACAAGGCAGGGCGAACTGAAGACCCGGCGTCGGAATACGGACGCCGCCATAAAGCTGTGCAGCGGAACGGATTCGGGTCCTAACCTAAAGGCTCCTCGGAAGCGAAGAGTTGTACAAATGGTGGACATTATTAGGAAGGTGGAGGGACATTCTTGGAGCCCGATAATGTGGTACGCCAGGGAAAAAGATATGATATGAAGTGTGGTGCAGTGCAGGGCGCATGCGTGCAGAGCACAAAGCGGTAAAGCACACAGTGCGCAGTGTGTTAGGGCCCTCGTGTGCAGGCCGTTCAGGCTCAGCAGAACGAATGACACTTGGGTGCTGGGCGCCACCCACCGGTTCAGAGGCGCTGTCGTCGCCGCCGTCGCTGCAGTCGCTACTGGGCCAGGGGCCCCCGAGGTCCTGTTGCCAGCATTGCAGCTCATCCAGTTCGCCGCCACTGTCGCCCAAGAGCCCGTCGTGTACGTGCTGACCATCCGCGTATTGATCAGCAACAGTGCAGAACATCGCGAGCAATCGTCGTATACGACCAAGTTCTGAAGCAAAGTTGTGAAGGCGCGACTGAGGAGGGAGGAAAGGAAGGGTGCGGACGCGGCTTGTGTCGGGCCTCGCGCATTATGCAGCAAGCACAACGGCGCAAGCATTTACGAGTGTCCTTTTGGGAATGAACCACAGGCACAGCTTTATGGGTAATTATAATACATTTATGTAAATGATTATTGGCTGTAATGTGCTGTGGTGTGCCTACTCTAATACACGTTTGCATCGTCGCGACAGCAGCCGCGAGCCGAGCCGCGGGCGGAGGCCCTCTCTCTGATAGTCGAGCCTTGAGGGAACAGAGTTGTAATCTAAGCATTTGTATCATACTTACCTCGCTCTCTCAATCTGAGCCAATCACGCGCGCCTTCAATGGTGCTACACAGCCAGCCGTCGCTTAGCTAAACTCCACTACCACAGCCCGTCGCAGGAGCCCACATACCGTTGCACCGAGCCAAGCAACCTAAATACATAACATACAAGCAATTTCTTATATAGATTCAATACTAGCTGGAGGCAGAGACTTTCTTTGACAGGACGCGCAGGTCACACATGTCGTGACGCGACAGGACGCGAAAGCGACATGACTTGACTGCGACGATGCGCTCCATTTGCCGGTCGGCTTGTTCATATTGTCTTATTAAAAATGTATATGAATAAATTATACATAAAGAAAGAATGAATTTATGCTTGCCTCGTTCGAGGCCTAGGAAAGGGCTTCTTGTCGCCTCGAAGGTAACGGCGGATGTCCATGGAAATCGCTGCGACCTAGCAAGGATCATCGCAGCGCTCTCTCACTCACTCATGGCTGCCTAGGAAGTCTAAAAGTCGAGGGATGACAAGACGGTAATAGCCAGGGTTGTCCTGTCGGGCCATCGAAAACCTTTGCATTTGCCGCATTGACGCTCCAAGCAAAACTATGTAACAGTCGGCCGTATGCGATATTGAAGCACACACGCAGATCCTCGTATGGACTTCGCATGAGCACGAAGGATACAACAGCATGGGATCGACGGTCCACAACATGCAGCTATGGGGCCCTCTTCAACCTGTTAGGATCCCTCCCCTTTGGGCCACGGCCGCCTCACTCCCCTTGGTGAGCATGGAAAACTAGTTGCCCAAACGAGTTGCCGTGTAAGCACATTTGCCCTGGCTGTGCCGCTCTCCGCAGACACGCGGAACGAGAGCTCGTGAAGCTCCAGCAAGGAGCCGCATCACCAGGCACCGGCTTATCTTGCGCTGCCCCACTCGCTTAGACAACCCTGCCATAGTGGTACTAGCTCTGTATTCCTGGTACGCAAGGGTACTCATGAGCTCGTCAACACCAACTTATTGCCCCAGCGTATCGCCGGAGCCATAAGATTCATAAAAACTGGGTTTATGCACTTTGACAGAAACATTATATAATTATAATAGGGTGACATATCACAACGGGGTTCGTCTGCATGTCCACTCATGGCCGATACAGGAGGCCTTGAATAAACAACTTAGGAATGAATGTGACGAGGTCAAGCAGGAAACAACTGGCATTCTGTATAAACAATCCGTTTCCTGTGTATGTATCCATGCTATGTAATGTTTTGGTTGTTTGGGCACGTTTGCATGGTATATTCATGTCGGGCCGGGAAGGTACGCAACAACACAAAATTAACTTTTTCACTACATTGTGGCCTGGATTGTGCCGAAGGTATCATTATTAGCTGGGTTTTAGCTGGCGCCGTTACGTTCGCCATTACTCAGCTCAGGTGCCATTACGTTCGTAATTACTTTTCTTAATTAACAGTGCTGCACGGTGCCCTTGATCAATTAAAAATGTTTCATGGTGAATCTTTCCTCGACTGAGCAACCAGTAAGTGGAACAAACAGGCCCCGTTGAAAGCCGCAACGAGGTTGTAGAGGTAAGCTAGTGCATGTTTGTTAGCTTTATTAAGGAGTTAGTCTCGCCGAGCGTGTGGCTAGCCCTGCTATATCCGCGGGCGTGTGGCTAGCCCTGCTAGGCAAGGTGGCGGGTTACTGTGCGACGCAGTAGCGCCTCGCTCTGTGGCGTCGGCATGATAGGTACAGCCATCTAGTGAGTACGGGCGGTTGACTCAAGAGCAGTACCAACAGCGGCAACAGCAGCGGTACCAACATGGAGCTAAGCGAGATCCCGAGCAAAACGAACTACCGACCGGAGACACGCCTCCGCAAAACACCATTTCAGTGGAATATTCCTCCAACATCTGGGCCGGAGGCAGCGCACGATTGGGAGGGGATGATTTCATGCCTTAGCATACCTGGGCGGGTTTGTTCCGACGGGGATGGGACGCATCCGTTAGGCTCCCCTGCCGCACGGCGTTGCGGGCTGTGGGCGGCCGACTTGCGGTTCTGTGTGTGTGTGTTACATGGTTGGGGGGTGCGTGACCCCATACCTGTAAGACTACCCATACGAGCCGAAGGCCCAAGGGCAATACTACAACGCCTAAAAGCCACGGAGAAAAGGAAAAACACCGCACATCAGCCCAGACTAACGTCCAAAGGGGGTAATTGAGTTTCGGTGAGCCCACATACGTTCCAACATCCTCGCCAGACGTGCGGGTTCCCATTGCATGGCCTCCAACATACTCTGTTGATGATCGAATCCCTCTTCAGCACGAATATCATTATAGGCTGGGCATTCCAATAACACGTGTTTTTCATCCTCAATTCGGCTATTAGGACCACAACAGTGGCAAAATCGCTGCCCCCTGGGGACGTGGTACTTGCCCCTTCGTGCTCTGTTCGCCTCCAAAGCCCAGCAACATAAACGAAACTGCATTAGCTTACGATGTGCTAAACGAGGAATGAAAACCTTAGCATGTGTTGGCCACATGACGGCTGCGGCTCCCGAAAATGGCAGCCCCATCCAGTGCTTATACTTCGCCATTTGTGTGTGTGTGTTACATGGTTGGGGGTGCGTGACCCCATACCTGTAAGACTACCCATACGAGCCGAGGGCCCAAGGGCAATACTACAACGCCTAAAAGCCACGGAGAAAAAGGAAAAAACACCGCACATCAGCCCAGACTAACGTCCAAAGGGGGTAATTGAGTTTCGGTGAGCCCACATACGTTCCAACATCCTCGCCAGACGTGCGGGTTCCCATTGCATGGCCTCCAACATACTCTGTTGATGATCGAATCCCTCTTCAGCACGAATATCATTATAGGCTGGGCATTCCAATAACACGTGTTTTTCATCCTCAATTCGGCTATTAGGACCACAACAGTGGCAAAATCGCTGCCCCCTGGGGACGTGGTACTTGCCCCTTCGTGCTCTGTTCGCCTCCAAAGCCCAGCAACATAAACGAAACTGCATTAGCTTACGATGTGCTAAACGAGGAATGAAAACCTTAGCATGTGTTGGCCACATGACGGCTGCGGCTCCCGAAAATGGCAGCCCCATCCAGTGCTTATACTTCGCCATTTGCACTCCCGGTTGCTTCCCATCTGATGGGTACTCCTCTGGCAAGACAGTCAGACGCGTATGGTCCCAGCCGCTCATCAAACGCTCTCTTAGTGCCGTTATTATCGCTCCTTCTGGTAGAGGTCTACTCAACAACCAGTCAACACGCTCCTTTACCCCCACGACTTCTTGCGGTATTCCGCTCCAAATGTTGCACTCCAAGAAGGAAAACAGTCGTAACATTGAGATTCCCCAACCCTCCCATTCCGGGTTGGTCAGGGCATCGGTTATCTCCTGCCGTAAAACTGCATGAGCAATGGATCCCACTTGCTTTTGAAGGCGGTTCCAGAAACGGAGGATCTGCTTCACCATGTAATATTGTAAGGGGAGTTCAGCCAGCTCCGCGTACAACAGCCTGTGGGATGGCCGTGCCGTCCCCACTACCTGCCTCATGAATAAAATCTGCAGCTGAACTGCACTATCCTTCAAACAGGCTTCGAACATGCCCTCCGCAAGGTTGGCTTTATCCCGCCGCCTTCCCGCCCTGTCCACGACCTCTGCCAGCGCAAAAGGGCCCCACGCCTGCA